ACCACCACCACCACAATCATCCATACACCACCACCGTACACTACCACAATTAATTTATATAGCAGTCTACAGACATTAAAAAACAAACAGTCTTCTTCTTGCAGACTGCAGACCTTCGGTCCACCACTTCTCCTGCAGATGTCTACAGTAGTAGTCCGCAGACTGCAGACCTTTTCCTGCAGAAAAAACAAACACCCCCTTATTATTCACGCTCAGCTCTTTTTAGTATATGTTGGAATGTTGTTTCTAATACTCTCTCATTCCTTATTTTTTGGTTTACAATACTTGTCTGAAGTTATTTTTAAATTATTTTATATAAAAAATGATGTAGAATTAAAAAAATAAAAATTACATATTTAAAATCTAGATCAAAAGATCTACAAAACTAGTAATGACATTGATATATTATTTTATCAAATAACTAACGAAAATATGACAAAAAGAGAATGAAGTTTGAATCTTTGGATAGTAAATATGGAATTTAATTTGAGAGGTAGGGACTAATTCATAATAATCCGTACAAAATACAAAGCCCAAGTAATGAAAGAAATATTTATAAATTAATTCAATCTATAATTCGAGCTTAAAAAATAGTCTTTATTTCCTTATTTCATTGTGAGCTGTATTTATTTACCCAGAGTATTTTTTTTTTATATGTGGATGGATAACAAGGTAAGAGGTATCTCCTTTGTTTGGCACTTTCCTAAAACTTTTATGGCAAACGTCAATGGGTGGGGCCACTCCGCTTTGTCTCTTTCCTTAAAAACATTATCTCAAATGTTTGTCAGTTCTCTCCACTAAATAAATGTTTTTTTCTTTCAAAAAAATTTGGATTGTGGCATTTGTGGGTTTAAAAAAAATAACGGGGAAAATGTACGTTTTAATCTAATTATTGAACAACAACGCGCGTGTAACAATATTTCCGAAACAAATTATTACGAGTGAATTTGTACTCTTTTTGAAAGATAAAGTGAATTTGTACTTTGGAGGTTTATGTTCTAGACAAATTGACCTTTGATTTTTTCCCCCATAAAATACATGTTTCTCTTCTTGGTTAAATTTTTAAAAGGACATTTTTAGGTTGTGTTTGGTTAAGGGTAAAATATTTTTTTAAAAGAATATTTTCCAAAGAAAAATAATCTCAAGGAAATTATTCTTCTATCATATAAATTATTGTTTGATAGGAAAATATTTTCCTTCCTCTAATGTCAGCAAACACATGAAAATAGAATTAAAATTTTCTCAAAAATATTTTACATCCAAAATGTGTGTTTTACATAAAACTCTTTATAAAGTGTATGTTTCTTTAACTCTAAAAGTGCACCGCTAATATAGCTTTATTGATTAAAGTTCACCATCTATCTTATTATTTGTTTAATTTATTTTCTCTTAGATGATCGTCGTACCAGTTCTAAATCACCCTCTATGTTGATACGGAATATTTGTTTTTTTGGAATTACTGTTTTTAGGCACCGTTTTAGCCAGCCACGTACACCACCCTGGAAATACATCGTGAAAGTGTGTTTGGCACTAGAAATAAAAAAAGATTTTTAAAAGCTCCCCAACAAATATGGACTTACATAAGGAGTAGTCCGTAGGTCACAATAATTTGTGGGTCGGGCAAACAGTTGGGTATCCGCCTCCCCACTTTGTCGTCTCTACCCTTTATTATAAAAGGGTGGGTCCTGCCCGCATGGGCAGCTCAGTTGGTCAAGAGCGTGAAAGCTTGGAACAATGACCAGCGATCGAGTCCCGCAAGCGGCAGTATAGGAGCTATCCAAAAATCCCATAAAGGGTGAGGAGGCTCCTTGTGCGCAGTGGGCACGAGTCTAGCGTTCTTGGCTGACTGAGTCACCATGATTTACTTCCTCCACCATTCCTGTCGGGCAAGGGGGTGGGGGCGCCTGGGGTGGGCGATTCCACCTTTTGGAACAATAAAAGGGTGGGTCCTATGCCGATGATTCTTAAGACCCAGTTAGACTGTCACTGAATGAGATAAATTAATGATTTTGATTTCAGATTAGTAACATGGAGTAAAAAAATTATAAAATGAGGTGCAACAGAAAGACTTCCTACGAGATCTTTCATCCTAATACTATTCTCATCCAAACATGCTTAGCTTTAAATTTTTGATGAAATCTGTTACTCCGTACATTAATGCGGGTATAATAGCACCTCTATACCCCTATTATTATGGATTAAGCTATTTGTATCCCAATTTATACATCTCAAGTGTGCACCTTTATTTTATGTTGGTGCAATGCTATGGTGATAGTTCACACAGATACAAATGTTAGTGTAAATTTTTGTTGACGTACCATTATTTTAGTATAATTTTTTGGTACACTTTTTAGTACAAGTGAAGCTATTACTCCCTCCGTCCCCAATTTGATTACAAATTGCGGGTTACGGAGTAAAATTTCCTACTTTTTGAAATTATTTTATTTATAAATTGGTATATCAATAAGATATAAAAATTACATATTAAAAAACTACGTCAAAAAATCTACAAAACAAGAAGTGACAAGAATATTTTATTTTATCAAATATTTAATGAAATCGCGTAAACAAACAAAAGTTATCGAGAGGAGAGAAAAAAATTGTAATCTATTTAAGAACGGAGGGAGTATTAATTATTATATTTATAGCCACTAGCCAGCCTTCAATTCACCCATCCATCCGTCCATCGTCCTTTTGCGTTTGACTTCACGCTTTTCCTTCTCTTTTTTTTTTTCCTCCCTTAAATTTCTTCCGTGTTTCATTTGAGCTTCCTGTCCGATTCCTCCTTCGTCCCGACGCAACCTCTCGCCCCCACACTCCGAATCCATCCCCTAATATAATCTTTATCTGATCTCCCGAATCCTCGTCATTATGTGCATTCACAAACTGACGATCCTCTCCATCTGAAGCTCCGATTTCCCCGCGGATTCAGATTCATCCCCTCTCAGCTCAAGAAGAAGAAGAAGAAGAAGCCCCATCCATGGCGGGCAGTAATGAAATCAACGCCAGCGAATCCCAGGTTTTCATCTTAATTTCACCATTTTTATCTGTTCTTGACCTTGTACCCACTCGACCCAGTCTTCTAAACACTGATTTGATGAAAAAGATTGGACCTTTCCGTGAAATCTCAATGATTATATCACCCAGTTTGCCCCAATTCGATGAAACAAAACGTTTTTTTTTTTTGCTTTTCTGCTTCTTTCCGTGTCTGGGTATGTCCGATTGTTTCCAGAATTTTCCTTAACTGGAAAATTGCTATTAATGGGGCCGGGTGTGATGAATCAGTGAATGAATGAATGAACGATCATCAAATTCTCCTTGTTTTTTTTCATGTTTTCTTGCAGAGGGTGGTTCCACTGAATACCTGGATTCTCATATCCAACTTCAAGCTTGCTTACAACATGCTAAGGAGGTCCGACGGCTCCTTCAATCGCGATTTGGCCGAGTTTCTTGACCGGAAAGTCCAGCCCAATACGATCCCCGTCGACGGGGTCTACTCTTTCGATGTTGTGGATCGGACCACAAACATCCTCAATCGGGTCTACCGACCCGCACCGGAGAACCCGTCCGATTGGGGTAAAGTGGAACTCGACCGTCCTCTGAGCACCACCGAGGTTGTTCCCGTTATAGTCTTCTTCCACGGCGGGAGCTTCACCCACTCCTCCGCCAACAGTGCCATATACGACACCTTCTGCCGCCGCCTCGTGAAAATCTGCCGGTGTGTGGTTGTTTCCGTCAACTACCGCCGGTCGCCGGAGCACAGGTACCCCTGTGCCTATGAGGACGGGTGGTCCGCCGTTCAATGGGTAAAAACGAGACCGTGGCTGCAGAGCGGCGGCAAGGACGATTCTACCCGGAAAGTACACATGTATCTCGCCGGGGACAGCTCCGGCGGCAACATCGCCCACCATGTCTCCGTTCGAGCAGCATCAGACTCAGAATCAGAATCGGGCGTCGAGATATTGGGCAACATTCTTCTTCACCCGATGTTCGGGGGCCAGACCCGGACGGAATCCGAGAAGGAATTGGACGGGAGATATTTCGTGACGGTGAGGGACAGGGACTGGTACTGGAGGGCGTTTTTGCCGGAAGGGGAAGACAGGGACCACCCGGCGTGCAACATATTCGGGCCCCGGAGCAGGAGTCTCGGAGGGCTAAAGCGGTTCCCCAAGAGCCTCGTGGTTGTGGCGGGTCTGGATCTCTCCCAGGACTGGCAATTGGGGTACGTGGAAGGTCTCCAGAAATGCGGGCACAGAGTTCGTCTCCTCCACTTGGAGAAGGCGACCATTGGGTTCTATTTCTTGCCAAACAACGAGCACTTCGTTTGCCTTATGAACGAGATAACCGACTTCATCCATATCCATCCCCGCCGTTGTTCATAAACCAACACCTAACCACGAATTTTCATTTCACAGCCACAACTCTTAATCTGTTATATACACACACACACACACACAAAGAAGTGGATAGATTATATGAGGTGTTTTTTTTGCTCCCATTTTCCGTTTGGCGGATGTTATTTGGCTGAAATGGATGGGTTTTTCTAAGAAAAAAAAAATCGTTTCGTAACATCCATTTCAGTAAAAATAACATGTACGACCGAAAATTGTCGAGTATTCGGTTGATATCGAAAGGGAGCATTAATGTTATGGCATATGTAGCACTAATGTAATGGGTTTAGATGTATGGTTTTATATAGTATGGAGGGCCAAAAGGTGCTAATCTTAGGGCATGGATTGGGAAATGTGTCCAGTTCTTCACTTGTATGTTTACACATTTTGTGCCTTCTTGCTTTGTTCATTTCTCCTTGCTCTTTGCGGTGGGAATTCGTGGTTAGGAAGCCATTTATGAACAACATTTAAATATCGTTATCATTTTGGATAAATTTTCAACAATATCGATTTATTTTGATAACGTTTAAATTAAACTTTGATACTAGATAATCATCCGTATTTATAAAACGTTAAAGGCTGAGGTCTTGTTTGAGAACAACGTTTTCAATTAGCTTTAGCCTTTTGGATAAATATGCATTATACCACTACTTTTCTTTACACTATTAATTTATTCTATCACATCAAGGACAACACATGAAAAATCGTTACATTTTTTAATTTTCTTAATTTCCGTATCAAATGAAACCGGAAAAGAAAATTTTGGGCAATCCCAATTTATAGTCAAGTCAAAGCAAAATTGTTTTATGGGACGAGATTGCTATCTATTTTGACCCTAGTGAAATGGTTGACAGTCTTGAGTCTTGACACTTCCTCTTGAAACAGAAACTAAAGTTTTAGCGGTGATATAATTGGGCCGAATCCATTACATGTAGCCCACTAGCCCAGGTATCATTATAGGCATTGATTTTTTTAATTGTAGCCCACTTAACACTAGTCCACAAAAAATACTCCCATCCTCTAAAAATATTTTCTCTTTTACTGTTCACAGAGTCAAGTTTTATTTATTTTATAAATCTATTTTAGTTATAGATTAGATAAAATAGTATAGTCATGTCATTTATAGTTTTATAGATTCTTTTATGTAATTTTTTACTTGGTCCGTTCTTGAGTGTTTGTCCACTTTTGACTTTTGGAACTGTTCATCTAAGCACTTTGACTCATCAAATTCTCTCAATGTGTAAGCCTAAAAATAGTCATGTGTGATCTTGTTTGATTCGTCTTAATATATAGATTATTAATATATAATTTTTATAATTTTTTAATATACAAATTACAAGATAAAATGAATTAAAGAAGTGCATTGGATGGTGTGCAAAAATGAAAGTGGACAAACACTCAGGGACGGAGGGAGTATTATATACTCCGTAATTTTAATTTTTTAGATTTACATCATTTTTATAGAAAATAGTTTGAAATTAATTTCAGTCAAACATCGTAATTCGTAATGAGAAAATAGTTTTTAGACAGAAGTAGTTAATGAAAACATACAAAAAAAAATTCAAAATGTCAAAATTGATATGGAGCGAGAGATAAGGCTGGACAGTGTGGGGGAGGGATGGCGGGAAACACTCTCCCTTCATCCGTAACTATGATCGGTGTGATTGCCATCACCCCTATCACCATCGCTTTTGCGCTCTATCTTTTCGTTTGCTCTTTGCGCTGCTTTCTTTCTTAAGAAGTACTTTTATAAGGGGGTGTTTGTTTTTTCTGCAAGAAAAAGTTTGCAGTCTGCGGACCACTACTGTAGACATCTGCAGGAGAAGTGGTGGACCGAAGGTCTGCGGTCTGCAAGAAGAAGACTGTTTGTTTTTTTAATGTCTGTAGACTGCTATATAAATTAAGGGTGGTAGTGTATGATGATGGTGTATGGACGATTGTGGTGGTGGTGGTGGGTGGTGGTGAAGGGTGGTGGTGGACGTTGACGGCGGTGGTGGTGGACGGTGGTGGTGG